CAAACTAATTTGCTTTCGAATAATTTTTCATTCTAACTAATTTCATTCAAACATTTTCCTTTTTATAAAAATTCTTTGGAACAAATTGTTTTCTAACAATTTTTCTGGAACCGATAAATTGTATAAAGTTTCTTAATTTAAGAATGTAATAGTTACATCGCCTGGTGGATGTTGATGCGCTGGTCCAGATGGAGGCACGTACGTCGGTCCTTGCGGTCTCGGCTTCTGTGGGATCGGAATGAACGGTCTCGATGGTGTCGGTCTTGAGATCGGCGGTCTCAGCGTGGAGGGAATAGACGGTCTCGCTGGTGGAATCGCCGGACTGTAGCTGGGGTTCTGAGGAACGGGATTCGGCACGCTCGGCAGATAAGTTTTTGGCGGCGGATTGGGTTTCGATGGTATGAAGGGTGGTGGTGGCGGCGGTGCGGGCTTCTGCGGCGGCGGAAACGGAGTTTTCGGTTTGTTGTAGTCGTATCCGGGCGCCGGTTTCGGCGGCAGATACGCGTTCAAACCGGGCGCGATGGCCGCATAACTCGCTGCCAAACAGCAGGTGAATGTCAACAGCTGTAACGAAGAACAACAACAATGTCAAATTGCAGAATCAATTTCCACAGTAAAAGACGAGTAGCGAGAGAGATTTGTTGCGTTTGCATAAGAACGCATTACGTGCGCTTCATTATTACGTTAATTGCGGATGATGATCGAAGGTGGAATTGTGGAATTGCGATTATTCAAAATAAGGAAACGTTGGCTTGACGTTGTGCAATCGGTGCAATTATACTGAACAAAAATATTTGGATTTGTTTTTCATAATTGTATTGACGAGGAGGTGCATTTCTATGCAAAGAAATTATCTTCGGTAACTCAGACTGGCATATTTATATACAAATATGCGCGTAATGCGAGTTGGAAAAACGTTTGCAAGAGTTTATTCATCCTCTCCTCTTGAGAAACACCACTGTATGTTAATGACAATGTTCATGTACGTATGTATGAGAAACGTGTAAAACTGAGTTACGTTATATTGTTATAATTGGTAATATATTTCGTTGAAATATGTCCTTTTCTCTTCCCACCTACTGACATTCTTTATTGGACGATTTTTATCGTGATTTACGACAATAATTAACGCAATTCAATTACCTATATATTAAAATAATACATTGTTTTATCAAAACTAAGAAACACAAGTTTATGGCACAACAATATTTTTATTATATAATTAATTGCTGTTTTTTATCTAGGAAAGTTTACAATTACAACGATTTATTCAAAACAATGCACTTCAAAATCGTAACAAAAAATGAAGATTTCTTATGAGAAAATTAACATTTGATTTGAATATATTTATAATGTACTTTAAGCATTTTGAAAATATTCTTGTGGAATGAACTTTAAATGCAATAATGATAATATTTCATTGATGAAAACAACTTTTCACCGAAACCTAAATGCATATTCATACTTTTTTTGTTGTTGTTGTTGCCTGTTTCTTGTGTCCGACCTTTTCTCTCACTCCCAACACACTTTCAAACGATTATTTTTTAGTTTCAAATTTCATTAGTTCAGATCCACCGATTCGCTCCAGACGTTCTCTGTAACATTTAAATAAACATTAAGTTTATTTGCATACAAACTGACCATTATCTCACAGTTATACTAAAGTATTTCTAAACATATAATTGAATTAATAATAAATTGAAAGAAAGACTTTGGTCGATAGAAAATAAATTATAATTATTGTATAAAACTGAGTAATAATGTACATTTGAATAATTTCTACTTTAACGAATTCTTTAACGAAATCTATAATCTACAAAATGTGTATTAAATTTTAATTCAATTTTAATATCGTTTTTCATGTTCATATTGTATAGAAAATATGTTTAAGACTCAAAAAAAAGTTATTTCTTTAGATATTAGTGTACAATTATTTAAAAAAAACTACTTAAAATTATACAGCTCAAATGATTATGTAATTGAATTTATCAAAAAGTGATCGAAAATCTAATAATAATTTTTGAGTTGTTTTATAGATTAAATATGCAATTTGTAGGTGAAATTATATAGTTAATAATGTTTATAATTAGTTTACAAAATTTGATGATTAAAATAAATTATAGTTTAATGTAAACTCCGGATATATTCATGATTTTTGTAGAAATATTTATTTATTAAGTTTCTGTTTTTGAAGAAAAATTTTCGAAAATTTTATTAGAAATCTTTTTATTAGAAAAAACTATGCTAAAGTTATATTTGTATGAAAATATAGTAAATTTATTCATAAATATTGCTACCAACATAATTATATAATTAATGTCACTATACTTTGTTGCCATAGCAATTGTAACATTAGTAACCATAATGAATGTGTCTAAATAATTTAGACTTAAATTATAGTTTGATGTAAACTCCGGATATATTCATGATTTTTGTAGAAATATTTATTTATTAAGTTTCTGTTTTTTAAGAAAAATTTTCGAAAAACTTTATTAGAAATCTTTTTATTAGAAAAAACTATGCTAAAGTTATATTTGTATGAAAATATAGTAAATTTATTCATAAATATTGCTACCAACATAATTATATAATTAATGTCACTATACTTTGTTGCCATAGCAATTGTAAGTAGTTACCATAATGAATATGGCGTAAATAATTTAGACTTGAATTTTGACTAAAAAAAATATTGTTACCAAGCTTATTAATAAACTCACTATATTTAGTTTAGTTTATTGTAACATATTCTTGAATAAACATTTACTGTATAAGATAAATAATAAAAGATATTTTGTTAAAATTTTTGAATACTATGTGTATATAAATTAATGAATTCTCATTCAATAATTAAATGTTTAAAAATAGATTAGATTAAAGACTGTATAAAATAATGTGTTTAAAAGTGGTGCTACTCTTCAACGTACATTTGTATATGGAAGTACATAAAGTGCAGAATCTAAAGACTGTTGGAGATTTATCTGAGCGTATTGAGGTGAAGACCGGTGGTAATAGCGAAAAAGAAAGAAGTGCGTTATTTATGTTTTTTTGCGTGCGTTCCATTAGCGTTCGTATGTGTGCGTGTGTGTGTGTACGAGCAACCACAAAGGATTCTCGTACACGTGTGTATGTGAGCAGCTCTTTTCAAGCGCGGTGATGGATAGAAAGTCCAGCATCCTTCCGTCGATTGTCGAACGGAATTCGCAGCCTTAACCTATGCAGAATAAGATCACGATTATTCAAACCCAGCATCCGGTTAAAGAAGTGTACATTCTAAGAACCGTATTGATCTCGTAACTCGATGCTCCCATAACAATAACATAGCAACAACAAGCAAACAGACAACATATTACGAAATAAACTTAAACTTCCTCCATCCATCATTGCTTATGGATTATTCTGTAATGCGAAAGACGACGAGGACGGTTAATTTGCAAACGAAATTAAAACTCGAATTCCTCATCATCTACTACATAAATATTTATAATTTCGCTTCGAGGAATTAGCAATTTGCGGACAATGCAATGCATTATTTCCCAGCAGCCCCCGGAACCTTATTCACACAAACAATATTCAAATTTGCGCAAACTGGGGTTTTCACACCTGAAACCGATAGTAATTGCGATAGTTTGTAATGTAATAATTGCGATTCTCTCTTTCTCTTGACGCAATAATCATCACGGCAACTCCATCATCATTACCGCCGTTCATTAGGAAGGCACCTCTTCGCGCAATTGATTTCTTGCGCTCTCGTAGAAAGTCCTATTTCTCTTATACTTTTACATTATCGTTTAAACATTATTATTATATACATTTTTTTTGTTCAGAAATAATGAAATACAATTAAAAATGCAGGAATGCGAGGAAGGATAATGCAATTCCTAGGATCGTCGTCGCGATCGTTGCGAGTCTTCGTCTCGTTACCATCACTTTATTATTATTTTGTTGTTGTTGTTGCTATTGCTGTTTTGTATCGTTGTATTTCCCTCTGGTTAATAATCTATTAAACAATAATAACTTTATAAATATCAGCTGAATGCATTCCGCGTTTCGTTCACCTTTCGGCGTTCGCAAGGACGTTCCAGGATTGCCGTTTGGAGGAGCGAATGTGGGTTAGGCCGAATGTGCTTCGATACTTCTTCGTCTGTTGCTTATTCTTATTATCATCATCATTTGAAACCTATTTGTTTCACCTTATTATCATCATCATCATCAACTTTCAGATTCAGGTCCGTTTTCTCGTGTTCTTCGATCTATGTTCACATCCGTTCTCCATTTGCCGTTGCCGCTGCCTTTTACACACGTCGGCGGCCTACACCTTATTTTTCGAGAAAGATCTGCCTGCATTTACATTGCATTTACCTTCTATTATTACCTTATCCGTTTATTTATTACCATACTAAACTCAAATATACAATTCCGTCTTTAGTATATGCATTTTATATTGGCATAAATTTAAAAAGTATATTCCTTAATTTATAATCAAATCTTATTAACAAACTAAAGTAAAAATTTCTAATTTCAACAACAATTTACGTACTTTTATATTGGTTAATTTTTCATTTAAATTACTTGAAATTATGACTATAAAATCAAAGTAAAACTTTATTATTTCATGTATATTTTACCAATTTTACCAATTTCTTCATTAAATTACAATTTATGTAAATTTATATTGGTAAGTCTTCCCCCTAATTACTTGAAATGATTATAAAACTTTCCGGTAAATTACTTGAAATTATGACTATCAAATCTTATTATAAAACTAAACATTTATTAATTTCATCTCTATTTTGTGCATTTTTTATTGATTTTAAGTTCAGAATTTTCTCTCCTAAACTTGCTACACTTATTGCAATGAACTTTTGTATGCACTTCGTAAAGTTCACATATTTGCAGAAAAGTCATGCACTTATACACTAAAATCAAACACGAATCGTGCAAGAAAGTATCTTTTATAGAATTTATATTAGTTTCTTACTTTTAGAACATTATTTAATTATCGTAAAGATTATAAAATAAAATTACTTGAAAAGAATTATATTCCATCTTTAGTTTATGTATACTTATATTCTTTTCTTTTGTTACAAAATATTATTTAATGATAGAAGACAGAAAAGTGACAGTGACAGATAATATAAATAAATGAATAAAGAACGTGTCTCTTGATGTTTGACAATTTACGAAAGTTAAGCAATTATGAATTGGTGACCCGTTTTTCTAAAGCAACGAGTCTTAATATCAGAATTATAAAATTAATATTTGTTTGTTTGGTTACAAAATATTGTTTACTGACGTTTGACAGAAAAGTGACAGTGACAGATTAAAGAAACATATTAATAAGGAACGTGTCTCTTGATGTTTGACAATTTACTAAAGTTAAACAATTCTGAATTGGTGACCCGATTAGCTAAAGCAACAAGTCTTAATTTCAGATTATCTTTGATAAATAATCTATAAAATAATAACTTTATAATATCATAAAGCAAAATGTGTAAATAATTAAGACAAACAGATTGTATAACAGAGTAGAATCTATGAAAATAATATTTGTTTCTTTGGTTGCA